TAACTATGACTCTTTTAAGGTAGTAAAAGTGGTGTTTGAATGATTTGTTACTAATATTGACTAAGCCGACATAATAGACAGCATACATTTTAAATGTATTTATTTACAATTTAATGGGCAATAAATAACAAATAGAAAGATAACTCAACCGGACGGCCTATTAATAGCAATAAATTTAGTATACTTGAGCGAGAAATTCAAACAACCGTTTTAAGCAGATTGAAAATATATTTTAAAGACTGACAAATTTAAATAAAGTGTAAGATAATAAGTAAACTATTTGGCCACCAAGTCACGTTCACTCTTGCAATATATTCATTGAACTCAACATTAATAAATATAGTTTAAAAAAACTAAAAAAACACTCTTTTAAAGCACATCGAACTAAAAAGTTAAAAATAATTTTTAAAATAATTATGAATAAAAAATTCTAGTATTATTGTGATAAAAGCTTTGGTGCTTTGTGCCATATTTTTCGTATATTGAGCGCCCGAGGCTCAATATTTTTAATTTAAATTATTAGGGATAGAATATCGAAAGTTAGTACAAACAGCTGTACTCAAAATGAAATGTAAAATTAAATCGTATTATTTCAATTGTATTTTTTAATATACATAGATAGATAACTGACATCTTATTCGTTAACACCTTCTATTCAAATGTTTAAATGCAACAGTAATAAAAAAAGTATATAAATAAATAAATAAAAACTTTATAATTTATACATTTGGGATTTTTGTTATTAATGTAATGCTATACATATTTATTGTTTCAATACTCATATGTAGTAACGGTTGAAGTAAAATATCGAAATCAAGGTAACGACATTAAAATTACTAGTGTCGATACTTAACTAATATTGGTAATATTGCAACGTCCTTACGAATTTTCATAAAAAATGAGAGAAAAGAATTGATCATTAAAAAGATCTGATTATAATTTTGAATCACAATTGTTTTGATTATTCTATGGGCGCTAATACGTAGCTGGTGGTACTGCAAAACCACTACAAAATACTATATCCCAGCCACACTAAGAGTTTTGTAAAAAAAAATGTCTTCTTATATTAAGGATTTTGTTATCAGTAAATCGTAATAAACACATATAATATAAACATTTTTTTATACAGTTTAAAACATCTTTTAACACGCTTATATTAATTTCACATGTTTTTAATAAAAAATATCATAATAAGGAGAACCAGAAAATTATAAACATAATAGTTTATTATTATTAAAGGTTTGTGACAATTTAATTTCAGTACTTCAGCATTTTTGCCTTGGTTGCGCCCATGGATTATTATCACAATGAAAGAATGCGATCATGCTAATCACTATTATTTTCTTTAATGACTGGTAAATTAATGTGAAATAATTTGTAATATTTTTTTTTTCAAACCTTTTTACTTATTAAAATTTGTTACTTTATCAAATATTAAGTAATTTATTCATGAATTATGTAAACATTCTAATTTGGCAAAAAACAAATTCACAAACATAGGTTAAAATAAATATTCTATAATTTTCAGAAAATTATATTAAAAATTGAATTTATAAAAATATTCATTGAAAAACATTTGGTTGAATCTATTTCGTGAAATGGTTGAATTAGAAAAAAATAAAAATATATCTGTACACATGGATACATTAGAGCAACATCCACATTGCTCACATGGTAATTATTCAACTTATTTTCTATGGTAAGCTAGTTTTTAATTTGAAGTGTAGAAAATTAATTATCTTAAAATTTAAGCACAATTTATAATTTGATTAACGGTATATTAGTGTGAAAAAATTAACTTTATTTTATAGGTTTTTAAATTTTATTTTTTCAAATTTTCGCATCTATTGTAATTTTAATGTATCATTTCAGAAAATCGGCCTACTAGGTACTAAGCATTTGTGTTTACAAATAAAAAAAATACGTTAATGTAAAATTAATATTTTCTCAGCTTCATATCAAAGTATTTTGAATTGATATGGTTTTTTAATCCATTATTATAATTAAGGAATATTAGAAAAAAACATATTATATTTATAAATAAAAAAAAATTAATTCCATTTCAGGACCTACAATACTTTTTTCTCGTGGCTTAGATGGTAAAAAGTTTTACTCATGTGCTGCATATAGAGATAAAAAAAAATGTTCATTTTTCTTATGGGAAAATCAGAGTGGTGAGAAATATGTCCAACAATTTGAAAGAGATCCAATTATTTCAAAAATGATAAGATTTAAACTGCAATCAAGGTACTATACAATTACTTTATTTAATAAGGTATTAAAATTTTATATTAGTTTGTACATAAATCTAATAAAATAAGACTAATTAAGAGTATCTTAATCTTCATGAATTTCAAAAATAAAAATACTGTTTGTGTTGTAGAAATTAACAAATATTTCTATTGTGCTTGGGTTAAAAGGCTTAAGTACAAAAATTATGTAAATGAGATTAAATACATTATAATATTTAAAAAGAATTACTCTTTTTTTATGGTATAAAGAGCTATGATATGATACTTTTGAACTTAAGCCCATTTCATCTGAGTTCCTCAGATTTATAAAACTAAAATCGAATGTTGATTTAATTTTATGGTCAAGCTACAATATATTTTAATTCTTATCCACAATTCATAGTTTTTAGATATAAAATATATTTTCTTAAATGATTTTCATTTATACTGTTACAAAGTTATTGTTGAATAATACATTTCATGAATAATTATGATAAAAAGTTATACCATAAAGTGAAAATTAAATTTTTTATTCATTTTATTGGCAATAATTTTTCATTCTGCTTTTATTATGAAATTAACTTCACATACTTTACGAATAACATATATTGAAGTAACTTTAAGGAGTAAAGTAAAATGATACTTAGGTATGACTTAATGATAAAGATGTAATCATTAAAATAAAATATTACTAAAATCAACTATATATTTATTAATACTTATTAATAGGAATTGTCAACAATATCAATATCATTGACTTTTTTCATTTTTTCTACAATATCAATTATTTTTAAAATATCGTAAAAATCAAAAAACATTTTTTATAAAAAAAACTATTTAAATTTTGGTTACTTTATTACAAATATATATATTATTTGATATTATATTAAAAACAGTTTTGATAATCTTGTAAATATTTTTTGTATTAAAATATATTATGAAATATAGAATTGAGATAAAACGAAAAATGATATTTATTGATACAAAATTTGTATTAGTTTTATTGTTAATTTTATTAGTTGATAGTGATGAAGATGATATTGATTGATGTTTTATTTTGTAAAAGTTTAAATTTTATTTTTGAAGAGAAGAAAAATTGTTTTCAGGTGTAACTTAAGGCAATAAAAAATTTATGTTTGATTATTAGGTTAAGTATGAATAATCAATAAATATATTTTAATTAAAAATATAGCAGAATGTATTATTTGAAATATATCAATATAAATAATTATTTAAACATCAAGAGTAGATGCATAGAAATGATTACTAAGAATTCAATTTAAATGATTTATTACAATAAAATTACAAAAAAATAATAGTGATTTTAATGAAATTTTAAGTTTTCCTCGTAAATTTACAGTTAATAGTAATTATATATTATATATATATATATATATATATATAAATATTGATATTATTATGATGATATGAGACACGCGCGCGTGTACGGGTACGAAGAATTAAAAATAAAATTATACAGGAATAGGAATTTATGTCGTCTGGTGAACGGCGGGGTGTGTGTCTAGACGCGTAGCGCTAGAAAAATAATAACGCGTATGTGTTAATAATATATATATATATATATATATATATATATNTGCAAAAACAAGTTATTTTGATGGGCGGGATTTAAACTTTGTACCATAAGTGTATAAAACTGTATTATTTTGACACAATCATTGTACATTACATGAAATGATAGTTAGAAAGGACAATTTCAGCTAGTTCATAAATTCAAAGCAGCTTTTCTGAACTTTGTGTAGGTAAAATAATTAAAATAAGAATAAATTTATAATTAATGCAAGTTAGATTCATGTAAATTTTATAAAAATTGTTAGACTCATTACTATGGCTAACCCTTATAAGGTATTAAAAAAAAATATATATATATATAATTTGAACACAAAATAAAAATGTTGATTTAACTTTTTTTTTTATTTATAGTACGTAACATAGATTTTAATTAAACATATATTTTAAGGACGCAGTATTTCTGGAACATTTTCTAAAGTTAAGTTGAAAAAGTTACTATTTTGAATCTCCCATCTGGTCTGTGTGAAAGGTTAGATTTAAAGAAATATATATTAAATTATAGGTAAATACTTAATATATTAATTTAAAAAAATTGTTTCTATTCGTCTATTTTTCAAATAGTTATGGCAGTTTTAAGTAAAAATAATTTTAAAAATGTCAAAAATTACCAATTTTTAAATTTGTAATTTATTTATCCACGGGGGGAGACCCTGTAAGTAGGTATTGGGTAAGATTTTCAAAAATATTATATCAATTAAAAAGGAAATACCTAAGGTTTTACTATAAAATTATTTTGATTCGTTAATTTTGCAATAAATTATGGAAATTTTTAGAAAAAAAGGAAGAAAAATATTGAAATTTACAGATTTTAAAAATCGTAATCATTTGGGGAATTTTCACCATATATAGGAAACGAGGGAAAATTTTTCAATATTTAAAGGTAATGTCTTCTACTTGATACAATTTATGATCTTTTGTTCACAAAAATCGATCAGTTCAGTATGTGCTGAGATTGAACATTTACAGACACAATAAAAACAATTTTAAAATTAAAAAATTAAAAAATAAAAAAACACATCATAGTAAAATTAATATCTTCTGAGCTTCACATCAAAGCTAAAATGTAAAATATTATTTTCAATAAAAAATTGAAATACCTTCCTTAAAATTATATGAAATTATTTAATTATAGTATATAGTATAATTATTATAATTTTTTTTGCATTATACATTTCTATAACTAGAAATAGTATAAATTTTATTCCAATTGTAAAATTATAACCACCAAATAATTATTATTTTTATGTATTTCATTGGGTCATAATTATAGGTTAAAATTTGTTAAAAGTTTGAATCAAGAGAATCGTATTTATTGCCATAAATGTAATGAACTTTTGCCTAAATCAGAAAAACATTTGCATTTGGAACATGAAGATTTTTTACAGGAAAACATTGATGATTTTAAGTTGTCTCGCCCATCTCAGGTATATATTTTTGATATAAGCCTTAGGAATAAGTAAATTATTTATAAATAAGTTTTTACTCCTAAAATATATTAAAACAGTTCTTTTTAGTGATTTATTTAATGCAATTAAAAAAAATTAATTTCATTACAATGTAGTCAATTTTGAACTGTAAGTATTAGAAAAATATTATAGACATTTTTTTTTGTCTTAGACCATTTTATTAAAATTGACGACTAAAACATATTTTTTCAATACTTCAAATTTGGAAACTATTATCAAAAGATATTAATATGAACTACACAAATGTATGATTTTAACAGACATTTTTAGAATTTTTATATCTTTTTAAAAGTACTATTTTCAGTAAAAGATAGTTGTCGCAAGAATTCTCAACATTAAATTTTAAATTGAAGTAAAACATTTAAGTTATCACATCATATCTTAATTTCTTTTTCTTCTTCCTGGCCTTTCCATCTGTACTCCCTCTTATATGCTTGTTCCTTATGCTATCTTCTTTAGTCACTCCACTCATCCATCTAAGTATTCTCATTTCTGCTACATTCATTCTCTGTTCTATTTTCGTATCAACCGCCCAATACTCTGAACCATACATCATAGCTGGCCTCACTACAGTCTTGTCGAATTTACTTTTCAGCCTCATTGGAATTCTTTTATTGTTTCTCTCCACTTCAACGCACTTAATCCTGTGTCTTACATCCTCGTTAATACCACCTCCTTTTCCACAACTGATCCTAAATACTTAAAATTTTCAACCACTCTAATCACGTCCATGCCTATTGTCACTGATGTCCTCATTTCACCTATTATATTAATGTACCTTTTCGGGACTCCTTTTCTCATTAATACTTATTCTAAAATAAGTATTAACTACAGCAAGATCATACGATACTGCAAAATACAAGATTCTTTCTCCAACCTTATTCTTCTTACTAAAATCATATCCTCCATGTATTCTTTTATATCCTCTTTTCTCATTACCTACATGTCTATTTATATCTCCACTTATCAACATATCCTCATTGCCAGGTACCCCTTGCATCACCTCATCTATCTTTCTAGAAAACATTTCTTTGTCTATTTCATCACATCCTACTTGTGTTTTATAGATATTTATTACATTCAGCACTTTTTCCTCGAATATCAATTTTATGACTATAATTCTGTCACTTTTCTTAGCTACTTCTATTACTTTACTTTTTATCTTCTCGTCCATTATTATTCCTACCCCATTCTTTGTACTATCTTACCTGAGTGTAAAACTCAACTATTTCCCTCGATTTCTCTCCTTTCCACTTAAAGTTAGTTTCCTGCACACAACAAATGTTAACTTTTCTCCTTTTCAATATTTCTACTAATTTTTTACTTCTACCAGTTAATGTTCCAACATTCCAAGTACTTATTCTTACTTTGTATCTATTTTTCTCCCTTATACGCAAGTCCAGCTTAGGGTTAAGTGGTGATATCCCTACACCGTTGACACTACAAGCATTGGGTAGACCTGTACATATGACTGGTGAAACAGCTAATGCAAAAGTTGTCCGGCTGGTATAAAACACTTTATTCCTTAGGCTTTTTACGTTTTTAACTACTTTATTCCGTCTCACCTGTTGTCCTCGCATACATCCGAGATGGGACAATTCGCCTAAGTTTTGTTCAGGACACCTCATATTATTTCACAAAAATTTTATGCCGACTGTCAACCTGATGCAACCTTATTAGTCGACTCTTACGACTGGCAGAGGGGCCGTGGAAGTATTCTTATTCCCTATCCACAGGGACAACATCATATCTTAATTTATAAACAATAAAAATAATTGAGGAACTTTATTTTAGTTGTTGAGGCCATTTCAAGAGTCTAAAAGAGAGTCGCAATATTTTTTTACTGATTCGACTATAAATGCATTTTTAAATATGTTCAAATCTCTCAATATAAAATATGTGGTATGTATAGGAGCTCCTACGATACATGAACAAATTGTTTGTAAAGTTCCAGTTCTTAAAAGCATTTTGTTGGATATAGATCATAGATATGTAAGTTCTTTAACAAACATTTATTTTTCAGTGTTTTAATTTTTATTTGTCTATAAAATAATATAAAATCTAAAAAGGAATTAAATTACATATAAATGAGCATAGGTATATTTTGAATTTTTTGTATTGTATATTCTGAATGACATTTAAATTAAGTTATGACATGATAAAATGAAGATATGATAAATCTAATAACTCTTTATCAAATCAATATTTTATATTACTCTCTTCTATAAATAATTGTTAGACTTATAGTTTACAGTTTTAACATATATTTTACAGATATAGACCTTTTTAGAGTATGCAAAATAAAAATAGCCATTTTATAGAATAAATTAAATAAATAAGTAAATAATAATAAAATAAATAAGTAAAGTTACCACAAATTTGGAAAACGGGGAAATTTTTTTTATTTAGGAAAACTCCAAAATGTCATGGAATTTTATTAGTGCCTGAAATTTTGATTGTTCAATTACCGATAGAGCAATTATCAAACAAAAAATAAAATAATATTTTAAATAAAGTTGCAGTTTTACCAGTGTAACGACTTTCGATGGTTTAATTTATTTAATTGTTACATACTTGAAGAATGTGATACTAAAGAAATTTTAGTGGATTTATTGAGTAAGGAAGATTCTATGGCTGTCCTAATTGATCCCCCATTTGGCGGTAGGCTGGAACCAATAGCCTATACTATGAAAAAATTTGATGACATTAGATTAAAACATAATAAAAACTTTTTGACAAGTAATGAATTTTTATTATTTGATAGATATCTTCTAGATTGTAGTATTTTTTATGAAATATATTTAGTAAATAAGTATATTTGTTTTACAATTTGAAATTATGGTGTAACACTATTTTAGCTTCGATGCGAAGCTGAGAAGGTATTAATTTTACCATGATGTGTTTTTTTATTTTTTAATTTTAAAATTGTTTTTATTGTGTCTGTAAAAGTTCAATCTCAGCACATACTAAACCGATTTTTCTGAACAAAAGATCACAAATTGTATCAAGTCGAAGACATTACCTTTAAATATTAAAAAATTTTCCCTCGTTTCACATATATGGTGAAATTTCCCCAATTTTTTTTATGTCTGTTGCCACTTTTTCTCAGCTCTCACTGGACCGATTTCTTTTAACAATACGTCATAAGATCACAAATCGTATCTAATTGAAGACATTACCCTTAAAAATTGAAAAAATTTCTATCGTTCCTAGCAAATGGAAGAAATATCCAAAAAAATTACAAATTTAAAAATCGGTAAATTTTAACATTTTTTTCACTTTTTTTTCTTAAAACTTCCATAACTTTTTCAAAAATAAATAAATCAACATAATTTTTTTTTATACTAAAACCTTAGATATTTACCTTTCATTTGATATCATTTTTTTGAAATTCTAACACTTAACCCGCTCATTGGGGGATTTAAAATAGCAAATTTTTTACAAAAACTAACTTTTTCAACTTAAATTTTGAAAATGTTCCGGAAATACTGCGTCCTTTAAACATATATCAAATTAAAGCTTATTTTATGTACTATAAAATGAAAAAAAAAATTTGTCCCGACACATTATCTTCTGCACGTAAACGGCTGCCATGGTTAATAAAACGCTATTTTTGTGTTAGAATTTTCGATTTTACCTACTATGTGCAAATTGCTGTCGAAATTTAAAAAAAAATGTAATATTTGCCCTAAAAATCACCTTCTATAAGGATGTTTTGTGTACTTAAAACTGCCATAACTTTTACAAATATTAACAAATCAAAATAATATTTTTTTATATTGAAACCTTAGGTAATTTCCTTTTGTTTGATATCATTTTTTTTGAAAATGTAACACTTATTCTGCTCACAAAGGGGATTTTAAATTTTCAACTTAAAAATGCTATAACTTTTCGAAAAATGTAATTATGAGCACAAATTTTTGTTTCTAAATACATTATAAGTACATCTTTTATTTGACACACTTTTTATTAAAATTGGACAATTTCCCCATATATAGGGAGCGTTCAAAACTTGAAATATTTATAAAAAATAGAACTTTTTCAAATTAATTTTGAAAGTGTTCCGGAAATACTGTGTTCTTTAAACATTTATAAAATTAAAGCTTATTTTATGTACTATAATATAAAAAAAAAATTTGTCCCGACGACCTATCTTCTATTTGCAAATGGCTACCGTATTCGAAAATATGCTATTTTTCTATTCAAATTCTTGGTTTTGTATTTTATTTTATTTTAAAATGTCTTATTAGGAGAATACATAGTGAAAATAGCTACCGTATTTAAAAATATGCTATTATTGTGTTAAAATTCTTGGTTTTATATTTTATTTTATTATAAGGGGATTACACTGATTTTCATAAATATTATATCAATCTAAATGACATAGTATAAAAAATTAATCATATTTAAATTTTTTTGTTTCTTTGAAGTCGAGAAAGATAATTTTAAAATTTGAACTAGCTAAATTTCGATTTTTATTACGTGACGAATGAGACGTACGATTTTTGAGATGGTAACACTTGGGTCTTTCACGACAAAACATATGAAATTACAAAAAAGAAATACAATCATGAAATTTGAAACTTGTTATTTTTTTTTTTTATTAATATTTTACCCAATTTTTATTAATATATATTTTAGTCAATCAAAAATGTACATTAACAGAAAATACATTATAATTGATAAACTAAGAGAAATATAACTAAAAAAAATTAATGGAAAAATTGTTAATATTATTTTTATAATCATATTCAATATAAATGTACATCAAACAATTTGCTGGTTCATTAAATTTTGATAATTATATACATATATAATTCTGTAAATATTTTTCAGAATTTTTAATACTACCATATTTCATGGAGCGATATGTTAAGAGCTGTTTACCAGAAATGAGTATGTTAGATTATAAAGTTGACTATAGTAATCATAAAAAATTTAATGATACAGGTATAATTTCAATATAATAAAAAAAAAAAATATTTGATGTTAATTAATTTTAAGTTATTTTAAGGAAGAAATAAAGGATCTCCAATAAGACTGTTTACTAATGCTAATCAAAGTAAAATACCTTTACCATCTGATGAAAATTATCATTTTTGTGAAGAATGCAATCGCTGGGTTAGTGGGGAAAATAATCATTGCTATCAATGTGGTGGTTGTATGTCTAAAGTAAGTTACTCATAGTGAATTTATAACATTTTATAAATGATTTCAGAGAGTAGGTGAAATTAGATTATAAAAATTGTAATGCATCCTTATTTTAATATTCCAAATATTTTAAATTATTTTTAAATAAATACTAGCACTTTTATTTTTTTAGAATGGACGAAAATATATTCATTGTAATTTATGTAAAAAATGTGTTAAATGCACTTGGAAACATTGTAAAAAATGTAAGAAGTGTTGCTTACCAGATCATAGATGTATTAATGATCAAATAAAGGTTAGTATTTTAGTTATCAATAATTAATAATATTGAATGTGTTTCATTTAGAACATAAAATAGTTTTATATTTAGTATAAATTTAATATGAAAGATAAAAAATTAAAAACATGTTAATACTTATGAATCAAAATAAAGTACAGTTGCTAGGGTTTACAAACCTGGGTAATTTATAAGGGTATTTTTTACTATTGTTCAGTAATTAACTGAAAAATAAAAATGAGAATTTTACTTATTGTTATTTTAGTAACATGTTTTGTTCAATTTATCAATTATAAAGTATTTTCATATTCATCTTTTGTTTTAGCAAAATTTATTTAATACCACAAAAAATAATAATCAACAAATAAAATTAGAATTTTACTTTGCATTAAAAAATGCAAAATATTGTCAGGAAAAACATAATAATAATTACTATGTTTAATCCTCACTTATTAACTGCACTAGATGTTTTTAGTAAAATTATTTAATAAAATGACAATTGAAAAAAGCCTGAATCGGATGTTTTAAGTTCAATTTTAAGTAACAAAATAATGAAATATTCCATATAATATGCTAATGCATTGTAATTCAATTTGCTCTGATGTAGAGTTTTTATGAATCTAAGCTTAGGTTAAATAATAATTATTGGCTATTACATGATTATTTTTTTTAATTGTAATTATTTTTAGGAATATTCAATTTGTTTTTTATCTTCAATTAGTTGATACTGAATTTTATAAGACTGTAATATTCTATATTAGTAGGTTTATATTTCTGTACATTATTGCCCACTGACATTATTATTGTTATTAAAATGACAATTGATAAAAAAAGGCTAATTCTAAAATTTTAAGTTTAATTTTAAATTCTCATATCTATTTTTAAAATGCATATATCAACATAAAATTTTTAGAGACAATATATAACTACTTAATATTTAAAATGTGCAAACAAGTTTAATATATTTTTATTTTATTTTAGACATCATCAAAAAATAAAAGACAAGGCCAAAATAAGAAGTATAAATCCTCAATAAATTTGAAGTCAACAATGATAAAAAAGAATATATATAATGAAGAAATAAAAAGATTTTAGCAGTGACATTTAAACTTTTAAGNATTTATTTTTATCAAGAACCAAAAATATTTTGTATGACACATCTTTTCCTAGGTAGGTATTATAATAATATAATTAATTCTAAATAAATCGCGAAAACTGGTATTAATAGAAGATAATTCTCTCTAAAAATCATCCTGTTTATTATTTATAAAGTAATAAAATTATGTACACAGTCGTAAATTTTTAGAAAAAAGAGTAAATAATAACATCTTTTTTTTCCCAGAACATACGAGAGAAAAAATTATAACACTAAATTTTAAGTTGAATTACTTACAAATAATTACATTTAATAGAAATTTTCAAAAATTCTAAATTAAAGTGTGCTTAAGGTTCTTTTCATATTCTATATATATGAATATATTCAGAAATTGTAAGTATATTTTAATTTCTAGTTTAAGTAGCTGTTTATTTAGTATCTATTTGTTTCATGTTATTCTCGAAAAAAAATTTATAACTAAAGAATAACTGTTTATATTTTTTAAATTATATATTTATAATTTTTTAGAGTAAAAGATATAGATAGATGAATAGTCTCTTTTTATTTAAAAATTTTATTCTAGTTTGCCTATAGTAGCAGATAAAGATTGGTAATACAGAGGGTGTGCACCCCATCTTTGGATTATCATTATCTATTTTAAAAAATGTTTTTTAAACGATAGAATAACCAAAAAATTAATTGTGGACTAATAAATTTTTATGTTCCTCTTAAAAAAATGTGGGTTACTTTTTTGTTTACTCTTAATCTTAAAGGGTTTATTTAATTATTTGACGTTAGAGAAAATAAAAAACTGATAAAATTACTAATTTGATACTCTCATAAAACAAGTATTATAAATATGCTAAATGATAGCATATTCTATTAATCTTCAGTTGTTTGAAAACAATCATTTTAGACGTTATGGCAACATTTTTTGTTGTCCTTAAGTAAAAAAAAAGAGAAAGGAAAATAATGGAGAATGTCAATTTTCAAAAACGGTAGCACAGTGTGGTCGAGGCACAGCGTAGACAAGGCATAGATGGGACAAGTATAGATGATATTTGACAGTGATTAAAATCACTATCATAAGAAACGCTTCGATGCAAATCTGTAGATAGTGTTTTAATAGGCCCTTCACACAACCGAACAAAATGTATTTCTGTTATTCTTTCATCTTCTACCCACACACCAATAAATTACAAAACACAATCAACACTTTCTATCACTGACTGCAGATACACACACAACTCACACAATCACGCCATGCACACACATCCGTTCCTTCCCAACATGTACAACCCCGAGTTTTACAAAATCCTTCTACAATGTCAGCAAAATAGCAACAAAGAATCTAAATAAATGTAAGGCCGATGGTCATGTACGTGTCTGGAAGGGAACTTTGGAAAGACACCAAAGGACTCCATGGGCTCGTCTGACACGGCCTGTTTCGATCGTACTCCGGAACGAACACGTCCAGTTTTTTAAGTAAACTCCGCATTTTTCTCTGTATCGTTTATATAATATTGACAATATTTGAATTAGTGTGTACAAATATTTTATTTAAGTTTCATGTACTATTTCTTTTACCATATGAATCACTTTTGTGTATTTTGTGTAATAAGTGACAATAATTATATCATTTGATAATTGACATCAACTTGTTTTGTGTTGAAATTATTATTACATAAATCCTGTCTTCGGCATTAAGGATAACATAAATATTCAGGTAACACTATTTGAACTCAACCTGCATGCTTTATTTTACAACGGTAGACCCTCGATCCATACGTCCGAGTGAAGAGTCAGATCCCGCGTATTTCCCCATTCATTTCAATCCTAAATCCCCCCCCTTTCCTTTTTTTATTTTTGAGTTATGACAATAGTGTTTCATTTAAAGAAATTGGTGGATTATTCCAAAAGCAACATCAACTCTTATTTCATTGATTATATCCTAATTAGTAGTATTGTAATTTAAACGGAGAAATTATAAAAATAATAAAGAAGATGTACTTTGCTTTATTTTTACGTGTATAAAAATTTAAAGGGCTTGATACAATAAATTTCAATAAAAACTGATTGTTACTATAAATAAATGCACTGAACTACAAGGAACTTTCTTCAGTAACAAAATATACCATTCTAAATCAACTTTTCGCGATGTTTTCAAATCTGCAATTAGACTTTTTTTTTCACTTCTAAGTTTTAATATTATTAAAAATTAGTATTTACATATAAAAAATTCGCATCGAAAATGAAAAATTGGCTATTTAAGCTAACTCAAATTTAAAAATTACTTTTTCAACTTTAAAAAAGTAAAAAAAAATTAATAAGTTTAATTTCTTATGTCTTATGAACATTATTCTATGTCAATTAAATTATATAATATTCATGAAAGTCAATATATTCTCCTAATAAGACATTTTAAAACAAAATAAAATACAAAACCTAGAATTTGAATAGAAAAATAGCATATTTTCGAATACGGTAGATTAATTTTTTATACTATGTCATTTAGATTGATATAATATTTATGAAAATCAGTGTAATCCCCTTATAATAAAATAAAATATAAAACCAAGAATTTTAACACAATAATAGCATATTTTTAAATACGGTAGCTATTTTCACTATGTATTCTCCTAATAAGACATTTTAAAATAAAATAAAATACAAAACCAAGAATTTGAATAGAAAAATAGCATATTTTCGAATACGGTAGCCATTTGCAAATAGAAGATAGGTCGTCGGGACAAATTTTTTTTTTATATTATAGTACATAAAATAAGCTTTAATTTTATAAATGTTTAAAGAACACAGTATTTCCGGAACACTTTCAAAATTAATTTGAAAAAGTTCTATTTTTTATAAATATTTCAAGTTTTGAACGCTCCCTATATATGGGGAAATTGTCCAATTTTAATAAAAAGTGTGTCAAATAAAAGATGTACTTATAATGTATTTAGAAACAAAAATTTGTGCTCATAATTACATTTTTCGAAAAGTTATAGCATTTTTAAGTTGAAAATTTAAAATCCCCTTTGTGAGCAGAATAAGTGTTACATTTTCAAAAAAAATGATATCAAACAAAAGGAAATTACCTAAGGTTTCAATATAAAAAAATATTATTTTGATTTGTTAATATTTGTAAAAGTTATGGCAGTTTTAAGTACACAAAACATCCTTATAGAAGGTGATTTTTAGGGCAAATATTACATTTTTTTTTAAATTTCGACAGCAATTTGCACATAGTAGGTAAAATCGAAAATTCTAACACAAAAATAGCGTTTTATTAACCATGGCAGCCGTTTACGTGCAGAAGATAATGTGTCGGGACAAATTTTTTTTTTCATTTTATAGTACATAAAATAAGCTTTAATTTGATATATGTTTAAAGAACGCAGTATTTCCGGAACATTTTCAAAAATTAAGTTGAAAAAGTTAGTTTTTGTAAAAAAAGTAGCTATTTTAAATCCCCTTTGTGAGCAGAATAAGTGTTACATTTTCAAAAAAATGATATGAAATGAAAGGGAAATATCTAAGGTTTTAGTATGAAAAAAAATTATGTTGATTTGTTTATTTTTGAAAAAGTTATGGAAGTTTTAAGAAAAAAAAGTGAAAAAAATGTCAAAATTTACCGATTTTTAAATTTGTAATTTTTTTGGATATTTCCCTTATTTGCGGAGAACAAGAGAAAATTTTTTAATTTTTAAGGGTAATGTCTTTAACTAAATACGATTTGTGATCTTTTGACGTATCATTTATAGAAATCGGTTCGGTGAGTGCTGAGAAAAAGTGGCAACAGACATAAAAAAAAAAAAAAACCCATCATGGTAAAATTAATACCTTCTCAGCTTCGCATTGAAGCTAAAAAATAGTAATAAAAACATTTTTGAGACATTTTAACAAAAAATGGGCTTGTTAAAGTTTATTTTTATTTTATTTTTCGATAGAACGTAATAATTTTATTTGTGATTTTGGGCGTGATTACATAGACGACCCTTTAGAATTGAATTATTAATAATTTTAGGTATCAAAAAGTTAGAAAATTGACTATATTATTAAAAATTGCCAACCTAGAGTTTGAATAAGCAATATAATATTATAACTAAATAATCGAATACAANTATTGGTTCCAGCCTACCGCCAAATGGGGGATCAATTAGGACAGCCATAGAATCTTCCTTACTCAATAAATCCACTAAAATTTCTTTAGTATCACATTCTTCAAGTATGTAACAATTAAATAAATTAAACCATCGAAAGTCGTTACACTGGTAAAACTGCAACTTTATTTAAAATATTATTTTATTTTTTGTTTGATAATTGCTCTATCGGTANAAATACATATAAAATCAAAAGTTTTATTTGAACTATATAATTATTAATGCTCTATTTCTTGAAAAAATTGATACGTACTATTAGAAAAATGTAATGAAATAATGATATTCGTGTATTTTTTGTTTTATTGAGAGATTTGTAAAATTTTTATATTATTCCTCACTACTATATAAATNACAATCAAAATTTCAGGCACTAATAAAATTCCATGACATTTTGGAGTTTTCCTAAATAAAAAAAATTTCCCCGTTTTCCAAATTTGTGGTAACTTTACTTATTTATTTTATTATTATTTACTTATTTATTTAATTTATTCTATAAAATGGCTATTTTTATTTTGCATACTCTAAAAAGGTCTATATCTGTAAAATATATGTTAAAACTGTAAACTATAAGTCTAACAATTATTTATAGAAGAGAGTAATATAAAATATTGATTTGATAAAGAGTTATTAGATTTATCATATCTTCATTTTATCATGTCATAACTTAATTTAAATGTCATTCAGAATATACAATACAAAAAATTCAAAATATACCTATGCNAGTAGATATTACTTTATTTTTTGGGTTTATTGCTACTACGAGTAGTGTTTTTTATTCGGACGAAATATTTGAAAAAATAAAATCTATTGCAATTGGAGCCTCGTCTTTTGTTGGATTGTTGAATTCGATGTATCAAAGATATAACTACAAACGCAATCAACACATAATGAATGATTTACAATGTATCTCAGTGAATTTTCAAAATGATCAGCCCATTGAATGTTTTGTAAAGAAGATGAAAAGTGATATTTGGTTAAGTATTATAAAAATCGAAATAAAAATCCCCTAGAAACTATTTCTTAAATTAGCGGTATGAATTAAATACTCATGTGTATTTAGTTTACATAGGTATTTGATTTAAACTGTTTATACCAATTTATTTATTTTGAAAANAAGATATGATGTTGTCCCTGTGGATAGGGAATAAGAATACTTCCACGGCCCCTCTGCCAGTCGTAAGAGTCGACTAATAAGGTTGCATCAGGTTGACAGTCGGCATAAAATTTTTGTGAAATAATATGAGGTGTCCTGAACAAAACTTAGGCGAATTGTCCCATCTCGGATGTATGCGAGGACAACAGGTGAGACGGAATAAAGTAGTTAAAAACGTAAAAAGCCTAAGGAATAAAGTGTTTTATACCAGCCGGACAACTTTTGCATTAGCTGTTTCACCAGTCATATGTACAGGTCTACCCAATGCTTGTAGTGTCAACNCACAGATAAAATGTGGATTTATTCAGCTGAGAAAAAATTTATCTTATGCTATTGAGTGTAAAAATGATCTATCTCTGTTTTATGGATGTATTAAAAACCATCAAAATATTATAAGGTGTGTAGAGTAAATTTTACTATAATATTAATGTTTCTCAATTTTTATCGATTTTTTTTTGGAGCCAAATAAGGGCAATAGCGGCCTACCCCGAAGGAAGATATTTTTTAACCATTGATACACCGGGACAGTTAGGTTATCCGTCGTTGGAGATAGGAATGGCCAATTACCAAACTGATCTCTCGCTCGGCAAATGAAGCCACCCGTGACTGAGTTTTGAACCTGAGACAGTGCGCATTAAGCACTGCCGTGTTACCGACTTCGGCACACCGTCCTGTTAATTTACCTTTATTATGATTATTTTTTGGAAATGTTCTGTACTGTATTCATAGACATAAAGGTGGCAAGAGAGGTTAACTATCCATCCAAATATTTGATTGAGGGAACAATAGTATCGTTTTAATCCCTTTAAAAGTTACTTTACTATCAAATTATTTTAAAGCTAATTTATAAATTATGTGTTTTTTGTAATAAGTATTATGTCTTTAGTCATAATGTGATCTAAGCTTACATATACGAGCTAAAAATATTATTGTGTTAATGTTTACCAGAGTCCTTTACAGTGTAACTAGAATGAAAATAACTTGATATCCCTATAAAATTAAAAAATTATCTAAAATAAGCCCAACAAAAATATATTTCCTCGCCTTGCTCGAAATTTTTAATTTAGCAATAAGATAATAGATCTATTAACTATTATTTCAGCCATCATCAGGTTCAAATTCCTAATATAATAAATCTAGTGATTAGTGTCTAATAAGACACTAAAGTCTATGGATCAATTCAATATTTTCATGAGAAGTAGTATTTATAAATATCTTTCATTCGACATATTTTTTTTTTAAATCAGACCATTTCCCTATATACGAGGGGAGTTCAAATCTAAAAAATGCATATAGAAAGTAGAACTTTTTCAACTTAACTTTTGAAAGTGTTCCGGAAAGTCTGACACTTTTATATATATCTTAAATTAAAGCTAATGTAATATACTTTATAATGGTAAAAAAATATTTCGGACTTTATTTTGTCTTCACGGTGAAAACAGACATCAAAGTTAATAAAAAAAACCCAGCACAGGGGGGTCGCGGCATAGTTGGATCAAGTATAATGATATCTGATAGTGATTAAAATTACTATAATAAAAAAAACGCTTCGATGCAAATCTTTAGATACTGTTTAGATACTATAGTTCTATATGAGCAAATGGAGTCTGAACCACTCCATTTTACTTCCTTTTCCATATAAAATTGCAAAAATTATTCAAGTGTAAGTTATAAAAAATCCAGCACAGGGGGGTTTGACGCAATACTTTTCAATAAATAATGTTTGTTATTTATAAACAAAGTTATAAATTTTATACACTGGACTACAAGGAACTTTCATCAGAAACAAAAATATACTTCTCTAAATTAACATTTCGCGGTGTTTTCAAATATGCAATTAGATTTCTTCTATCATTTTTAAGTTTTAATATTATTACTTATTATTAAAAAATAAGTATTTACATATAAAAAAAAACCCAACACAGTGGGGTTGCGGCACAGTGTTGACGTGCATAAATCGATCAAGTATAATGATATCTGACAGTGATTAAAATCACTATAAAAAAAAACGCTTCGATGCAAAATCTTTAGATAGTGATTAATTAAAAAAATTGGTGGATTATTTCAAAAGCTACATGATCTGTTAGTTCCTTATTAATATCCTGATAAAGATAAAGTATGTCAAATAAAAAAGGGAATATTAAAAAATATTATTTCTCAGAAAAAAATTATGTTGATCCTTACACTTTTTAATAAGTTTTAGCATTATAATGTTAAAAATGTAAAAAATAAAATCGAGAATTTTCATACAATAATAGCATTTGGTAGCCATTTTCACCGTGAAGACAAAATAAAGTCCGAAATATTTTTTTACCATTATAAAGTATATTACATTAGCTTTAATTTAAGATATATATAAAAGTGTCAGACTTTCCGGAACACTTTCAAAAGTTAAGTTGAAAAAGTTCTACTTTCTATATGCATTTTTTAGATTTGAACTCCCCTCGTATATAGGGAAATGGTCTGATTTANAATATCATTTTGATATTCTGTAGGCAGGTAAAAAGTCAGATTTATAAAAAAAATAGACCAAATGTTAGGTAAACACATCATGCATCTATAAAAAAAAGAATTATATTGATCCATACATCTTTCAAAAAGTTATAGCATTATAATGTTAAAAATTTAAAAAAGAATTTTTTTACAAAAATCCTATTTTTTTTATTAACTTTGATGTCTGTTTTCACCATGAAGATAAAATAAAGTCCGAAATACCTTTTTACCATAATAAAGTATATTACATTACCTTTAATTTAAGATATATATAAAAGTGTCAGACTTTCCGCAACATTTTCAAAAGTCAAGTTGAAAAAATTAATTTTTTTTAAAAAAGGTGTCCTTTTAAATCCCCTCCTGTGGGCAGGTAAAGGGTCAGATATAAAAAAAAAAATATACCAAATGAAAGGTAATGATATTATGCATCTATATAAAAAATTATATTGATTTGGTTATTTTTAAAAAAGTTAAGGCAATTTTAAGTAAAAAAACCCAGCACAGGGGGTCGCGGCACTGTGGTGACGTGGCATAGTTGGATAAGTATAATGATATCTGACAGTGATTAAAATCACTATCAAAAAAAAAACGCTTGGATACAAATCTTTAGATACTGTTTAATTTTAAAAAATTGGTGGATTATTCCAAAAGCTTCATGATCTGCTAGTTCCTTATTAATATCCTGATTAAGATAAAATGAATGAAAAAGGGTTTATTAAAAAATAGTATTTCCATTAAAAAAATTATATTGATCAATACACTTTTCAATAAGTTATAGCATTATAAAGTTAAAAATGTAAAAAATAAAATTGAGAATTTTCACACAATAATAGNAAAAAATAAAATTGAGAATTTTCACTCAATAATACCATTTGGTAACCATTTTCACCCTGAAGATAAAATAAAGTCCGAAATTTTCTTTTTTCATGATAAAGTATATTACATTAGCTTTAATTTAAGATATATATAAAAGTGTCAGACCTTTCGGAACATTTTCAAAAGTTAAGTTGAAAAAAATAATTTTTTGTGAAAAAGTTGTCATTTTAAATCCCCCCCTGTGGGCAGGTAAAAAGTCAGATTTATAAAAAAAATATACCAAATGATAGGTAAACACATAATGCATCTATAAAAAAAGAATTATAATGATATGTTTATTTTTGAAAAAGTTACGGCAGTTTTTAGTAAAAAAAATTGAAAATTAGCGATTTTTAAATTTGTAATTTTTTCGGAGGTTTCCCCCGGGGAATTTACGGGGAACGAGGGAAATTTTTTCAATTTTTAAGGGTAATGTCTTCGACTAGATACGATTTGTGATCTTTTGACGTATCGTTGAANGGAACGAGGGAAATTTTTTCAATTTTTAAGGGTAATGTCTTCGACTAGATACGATTTGTGATCTTTTGACGTATCATTGATAGAAATCGGTTCGGTGAGAGCTGAAAAAAAGTGGTAACAGAAACAAAAAAAAAAAAACACATCTAAAAAAACCAATACTTTCTCAGTTTCGTATCAAAGCTAAAATACGTTTTATGAAAAAAATTATTTTTTATATTATTAACTTTATACTGCTATAACTTTTTATAAAATGTATGGATCAACATAATTCTTTTTTTTATAGATGCATGATGTTTTTACCTATCATTTGGTCTATTTTTTTATAAATCTGACTTTTTACCTGCCTAAAAAAATTAATTTTTTCAACTTTACTTTTGAAAGTGTTCCGGAAAATCTGACACTTTTATATATATCTTAAAAGGGGGGTTCAAATCTAAAAAATGCATGCAGAAAGTAGAACTTTTCAACTTAACTTTTGAAAGTGTTCTGGAAAGTCTGAAATTTTTATATATATCTTAAATTAAAGCTAATGTAATATACTTTATAATGGTAAAAAAATATTTCGGACTTTATTTTGTCTTCACGGTGAAAATTGCTACCAAATGCTATTATTGTATGAAAATTCTTGATTTTATTTTTTACATTTTACATCAATACAATTTTTATGAGAAATAATATTTATATCCCTCTTTTATTCGACATACTTTATCTTAATCAGGATATAAATAAAGAAATAGCAGATCATGTAGCTTTTGGAATAATTAACCAATTTTTTAAAACTAAACACTATCTAAAGATTTGCATCGAAGTGTTTTTTATGATAGTGATATTAATCACTGTCAGATATCATTATACTTGACCCAACTATGCCACGTCACCACTGTGCCGCGACCCCCCTGTGCTGGGTTTTATTATTGGATTTCTAAAAAATGTCAATCGAAAATAGGATTTAAGTAATAATAGTTTAAATATTGTTTTTAATAACTTTTCCATTCTTAATACTAATTTTAATTAGAATTTTATTTTCTAGAGTTGGGAATAATATTTGCAATACTTATTCACCAGTGTTTTCTTTATTTTTGGCATTTTTTATAGTTGAAAATACTTCAATTATGGTCATGGTCATTTGTGTAAGTTATACATTTTTAATATTTTTAACCTTAATGATAAGCTTAGAAGACAATAATTTTAGCTCGACTTTTTTATTTATTTATTTATTATTTTTTTTTTGTGTCTCTCATTACAACACGTCCAAATATCACAAATTGTATTTAATTTAAGATATTAACTCCAAAAACTGAAAAATTTCTCTCTTTCATTGTAATTGAGAGCACCCAGAAAAGTACCATATTTATAATTGATTGACATTTTTATAAAAATAATTTTTTTTATTATTAGCTTAGATTCCCCTTGTTTGCTCCCTTGTTCATTCGGTACAAATTTTTGGAAAATATGATTTTCTAAGGGCGCACAGGAACTGAGAGTATCAACCTTCCCTTAAAATGTTAATTTATTCAACTTAAATTTTGAAAATGTTTCGAAAACTCTTTTGACTTTATATAAAATAAAATTTAATTTGCTATTAATTATTATAAATTAAAAAAACAAACTAAATCCAGTCACCTTGTCTTCTATAGATAAACAATCTTTAAAATTAAAAAAAATCAATTTTTATAAAATTAACTTGCTTACATAATTGGTNCAGACATCAAAGTTAATAAAAAAAACCCAGCACAGGGGGGTCGCGGCATAGTTGGATCAAGTATAATGATATCTGATAGTGATTAAAATTACTATAATAAAAAAAACGCTTCGATGCAAATCTTTAGATACTGTTTAGATACTATAGTTCTATATGAGCAAATGGAGTCTGAACCACTCCATTTTACTTCCTTTTCCATATAAAATTGCAAAAATTATTCAAGTGTAAGTTATAAAAAATCCAGCACAGGGGGGTTTGACGCAATACTTTTCAATAAATAATGTTTGTTATTTATAAACAAAGTTATAAATTTTATACACTGGACTACAAGGAACTTTCATCAGAAACAAAAATATACTTCTCTAAATTAACATTTCGCGGTGTTTTCAAATATGCAATTAGATTTCTTCTATCATTTTTAAGTTTTAATATTATTACTTATTATTAAAAAATAAGTATTTACATATAAAAAAAAACCCAACACAGTGGGGTTGCGGCACAGTGTTGACGTGCATAAATCGATCAAGTATAATGATATCTGACAGTGATTAAAATCACTATAAAAAAAAACGCTTCGATGCAAAATCTTTAGATAGTGATTAATTAAAAAAATTGGTGGATTATTTCAAAAGCTACATGATCTCTTATTTCCTTATTTATATCCTGATTAAGATAAAGTATGTCGAATAAAAAAGGAATTATTAAAAAATATTATTTCTCATAAAAAAAAAATTTGGTTTTCCTTTTTTTTTTGTGTCTGTTACTACTATAGCTCTCACCGAACCGATTTCTTTCAATGTTACGTCAAAAGATCACAAATCGTTTCTAGTCGAAGAAATTACCCTCAAAAATTGAAAAAATGTCCCTCATTCCCCGTAAATAGGGAAAACCTCTAAAAAAATTACTAATTTAAAAAACGCTAATTTTCGAAATTTTTTCAATTTTTTTTCCTTAAAACTGCCATAGCTTTTTCAAAAATGAACAAATCAATATAATTTTTTTTTATAGATGCATGATGTCTTTACCTATCATTTGGTATATTTTTTTATAAATCTGACCCTTTACCACCTTACAGAGGGGGATTCAAAATTTTTTTCAACTTTACTTTTGAAAGTGTCTCGTAAAGTCTGTCACTTTTATATATATATTAAATTAAAGCTAATGTAATGCACTTTATTGTGGAAAAAAAAAATTCGGACTTTATTTTGTCTTCATGGTGAATATGGCTACCGAATGCTATGTTTGTGTGAAAATTCTCGATTTTATATTTTTTACTTTAAAATGCAACAACTTTATAAAAAATGTATGGATTAATACAATTTTTTCATGAGAAGTATTATTTCATTCGATATACTTTATCTTAATCTGGATATAAATAAGGAAATAGCAGATCATGTTGCTTTTGGAATAATCCATCAATTTTTTAAAATGAAACACTATCTAAAGATTTGCATCGAAGCGTTTTTTATGATAGTGATTTTAATCACTGTCAGATATCATTATACTTGATCGAACTATGTCACGTCACCATTGTGCTACGACCGCTCTGTGCTGGGTTTTTTTTAATGGAAACATGTACAATTAACTTATTTAATTATTATATAGTAATCAATTAAGTTAATGACTGGTAAATGATAATTTTTAAAACAATATTTGAAAAATTACTAACACCAATTAACAAAATTTATTCAATTAATCAACCAAATTAACAATGTGCATCACCTTTATTTTAATTACATTAAATTCTTAATATGCTCTGAAATACTAGTTCAATAATTGTCATCAAATAGTAATTTTATTAATTAAATCATTTTCTATTTTATAATCTAGTTAAAAATGTATGATTGTTTATAAAAAATACTTATTTATAAAAAAAAATGAATAAAAACACTAATGAAAAAATTGTCTATCTTATTTTTATCGTTGGTTTAAATGATTCTGGATTATAAAGTAACCTTTTAACTATATAAAACAACATTATTAATCAATAAAAAATAATTTTCCTCTGTACCCCGTTGAAGTTTTTTTCTAGATATGATAATGTAAAAACACAAAAATATAATTACCTATAACACAATTATCTTTTTAGATTCCAAAAATGCCTTTAATGATGAAATTATCTCCTATGTGTCATTTGTGTATGTGTTTGACAACATTATACATATCATGTAATGTAGGATCCAGCTTAGAAGAAGTATGTCTATGGATTTACAAAATAATTATATTTTTGAAACTATAGCCGAAACCTTAAATTAACAATATATAAATCATTTTTTAGGAGTCAACTAAAATTGGGAAAGAACCTTTTGGAATTTGTATTCTTAACACATCAATTTTAACTATAAAACAAAATTTGCTGCTTTTAATATTAGGGTCGTATACACCACTCAGATGTAAATGCATATTTCAACCTACAGTATGGATGAACAATGCAACGTATGCAAGCGTATGTATAATTTTTTTTTGAATCAACGTGTTTAAAATTAAGGTCATGGTTAATTTTTAATTTAAATGAGACCTTCTGAAATTTTACTTGTCAAGAAATATTTTTATTAATTATTCTAATCTATTTTAAATTTCATGAAAACTATTTTCAAAATTTTCATACGAAAATATCCAATAATGAAGATGGTCAGATTAATGTATGTTAACAAAATTATAGTTTTTCGAGGGATTTAAAAAAAAAATTTCTTTCTTTGAAAATATATAATTATACATTATTTATTTTATTTTTTTATTAAGATATATGATTTATTATAATTTACATATTTAAATAAATCATATATTTCTAATGAATAATTTTAAATTATATAAACTTATATATTTACAATAAAATTATTATTTTTCATTTACACTTCTGAAATATTTAATAAAATATAATGTGACATTGGATAGTTGGGACAATTATAAATGATATTTGATAGTAATTAAAATCGCTATTATAAGAAACGCTTCCATGCAAATCTGTAGATCTAAGATCAAAATCTTAAAAACCAAATAAGAATTTAGTTGATTATTTTAAAAACAAAATGAACTCCTATTTTCTTTTTGTTTAAACATTTTAAAAATAATTCGTGCAAAATTTCGATTCAAAATGTAATTTTTAAACAATTTTTTTGGTTTTTTTGAGATGATATTTATGAAAGGTTATAATTACAAGAAAGTTGAAATTTTTACCATAACATTTTTTTATCTCAATTTACAAGTTTGTTATTGAAATCAATAATAGAATATTTTTTGAGAATTTAAAAATTGGTTTTGTTTATGGTAATATGCAGTTAGAAAATTTTATAATAACTATTTATAGTAAATTTATGATAAACATTTAAAATTTCGTTTAAGTCACTATTTTTTTTTGCATTTTTATCGTAATGAATCATTTAAATAGAAATCATAGTAATCATTTCTATGTAACTTTTGGTGTTTACTAAGATTCTACAATTGAAATATTCTTAACTTAATTTTTTTATTATTTATAAATAATTTAAAATATGTTGGTTAAAATGAAATTAACAACACAACAGCAGACGAAATCATAGCAAAACTAGGATAGGTCCAACAAAGGTATTAATATTTTGGATACTTTTCGGATAATAATCAAAAATTTGACGAAGCGGGTTTACCACAAAAATAATACTACAAAACTGTTAAACGTAAATTAAAATAGCGCTAAGAATTTTTTACCGATTTAAAACACTATAGATTAATAATTGTATTTCAAACCGTTAAGTTTTCTTCTTCTTCTTCTTTGCCTTAATCTCAACTACTTGTGGTCGGCCACCCTTAATCTAATTTAATCTAAATCCATTTGACACAATCTCCACATCATCTACGCTCACATTAGCTGTCCTCTTATCACATTCAATAGCATCCCCCATCTCTTTTTTGGTCTTCCTCTACATCTTCTTCCTTCAACATTCATTTCTATAACTGTTCTTACAGCTTCCGATTCTTCTCTCTTCATAACATGACTAAACAATCTAAGTCTATTTTCTCTCATCTTATCCACGATTGACGTTACACCTATTCTCCCTCTTTTATGCTCGTTCCTTATGCTATCTTCTCTAGTCACTCCACTTATCCATCTTAAGCATCTTAAGCATTCTCATCTCTGCTACACTTGTAATAAACAAAAATAAGTAACAATAGATGGTTGTATTAGGAAGGAAAAGAAATGTAACGCAGGTGGCCAATGAGGAAATAAGAGTCGTAGCGGGCGTAGTATAAAGAAGGATGGGCAGCAATAGAAAGTAAGAGTGGCTATAGGTACCAGGCAGTAACTTTAATAAAATGAAATAGAAAGGGATCTCGGGGTATGTATACTTGCGTGAAGACGTCTAATGTATGAATAAGATGTAATTACAAAGAAGGGTCACTACCTAGCACTTGTACAAACACGCGTATACGAATTTCTGGCGAGTCACAAATATCGTATTTCTTTATAAAAATATTTTAGTTTATTCTCGATGACCTATCTTATTCTCGATGACCTATCTTATTCTAATTGTTTATTATTAAAAGTTCTTCAGTAAAGGATTTATTATAGACTTATTATATAAATAAATGTTTCCACTTATCTTTGACTATCCTGATAAGACAGATATTCTCTTGAGATGAATGATGTAGTTGATTTTTTGTTTTTAATTAATTTTTTTATGTATAAATACTTGCTTTCTAATTATTACTATCTCAAAAAAGAGCTAATATAAAAAATCTACAGATTTGAAATCAGTGTAAAAATTTGATTTAGTTTTTAGCCAAGTATATATATATTCTATTATCATTAAAAAATATTTGATTTTAGTGATATGATTTTACTGTATAATTCAGTATAAAAAACAATGTTCTACTGCTATAATTTTTGCAGATGTTTAATTAAAAAAGTTTTTTTGAAATTGCCATTTTTTAAAGTAGCATAATTTTAAGATATTATAATTTCTAAAATTAAGGGGTTTTACCCCAATATTTGGTGATTATAAGTTCAACTAGAATATAATCGTGTATTTTTGGCGTATAAATCATTTAAGTTCAGTGAGAGTCGAGAATTTTTATGGACAGGTATAAAAAAAAAACACATCATGGTAAAATTCAAAAAATTAAAAACGTATGGAATAACTGATTAATTGTTAACTTGATTTAGTTCTTACTTAGAGAATAGATTCCAACAGGTGAAAATTAATGGTTTTCTATCAAATAAAATATCAGTGCCTTCAGGTGTTTCTCAAGGAACATCTGAATTTATCACCATTGTTGTTTGCATTATTTATTCTGGACATAGGTGCATGCTTTAAATACTGTAAGAACCAACTATTTGCTGATGATCTCAAAATGTTATGCAAATTTTATAACAATTATTGATTAGTATAAAATTCAAGAAGATCTAAACAGATTTTGTGACTGGTGCCACTGAAATGGGTTAAAACTGAACATCACAAAATGTTTCAAAATATCTTTTTCCCGTTCAAGAACGAAATTAATTAATGACTATCATCTCTTTGATAATCAAATGAGGATATTAGTACCATTAGTGATCTTGGGGTAGTTTTTAAAACCAACTTATCATTTTAGCCACACATTGATCATATCTGTGTGAAGTCCCTAAGAACTCTAGGTTTCTTAATTAAGAATACCAAAGAATTCAAGAACGCACAGTGTCTAAAAACTTTGTATACTTCTTTAGTTAGACCTACGTTGGAATATTGCTCAATTATTTGGAATCCTTCACAAGTCGGATTGATAGAATCGCTTGAGCGTGTAAAAAGAAGATTTTTACGTTTAATCGCTTATAAGAGACGTATGATTTCTATTAATAACCCTTCCGAGTCAATATCACTTAATTCTGTACAGGCTTCCCTTAACTTAGATTCCCTTGTTAATAGGCGAAAATATACAGACGTCTGCTTTCTTTCTAAATTAGTAAATGGTGTTATATTCTGTCCAGAACTATTACAATCCATAAACTTTCATGTTCCTAAATTTAATTCACGTTCTTGTCCCACATTTGAAATCCCTTTTCATCGAACATCTTACGGTTTTAATAACCCTGTTGATCGAATAGCCAGAGAGTGCAATAAATTAAAATTTGATTTGTTTATTATGAATGATTTGTATTCCTTAAAACACTGATTTTAGTAGCCTGATGCATATCATTAAATCACCTTTTTTTTTTTNAAATTATAAAAAGTGGTATATTTGTATAGAAAGTATTCTTTTTCATATAACCAGAAACATTGTGCAATTATAAATTTTGTTAAATTAATCTAAATATAGTAACAACGAGTTACTCTAAACCAGAGGTTCTCAAAGTCAAATGAATCACGGACCCCCCTCTAAAGACCTAACCCTGATATGGGATCGCGGACCACACTTTGAGAAACTCTGCTCTAAACAAATAATATTTATATGTTGTTATATATATTCCTATGATATAGTCTAATTAACTTAGGCTCTTAAAAGTGTATTGAAATGGATGTAACAAAATTTATAGATGCATATAATTACTAGTCTTACTCATGATATAATATACAAGTTAAGAATTCTATTATTTAGTTTTTTCCTTTTTTTTAGTTTTTCAGATTTTCATTCTCGGTACTACTAGCGACTAAAAAAATCGTAAATAAAGGAATTGTAGACTAATATTTGATTTTTAAAACTAATATAGTCTTTATATATGTAATATTGATTAATTTTTTATTTCAATAATAGATTTTATAATAAATATGAAATATTACAAATGTTTGGAATATTATCTTTACTACAAAGATGTTTATTAAATACTATGTTTAATAATATGTTTTCCATATTATAGTTTCCTTAATATAATCAGTCACTTTTTTTTTTGGAAAATTATATGTGTATGAATTTAAATAAAAAATATTAAATAGTAAAAAATTGTTAATTTTTTCTATTAATTAGTCATTTTAAGAACTATTTTGAACTTGTTCTACGATACATTACGACGGCAGAATAAAGTAAAGATTGCATCTAGATATTATTCTAGAATTAGGCATAGGCTAATGTATACAGTTATTGACAGAGGTATAGTTATAGGCCCAAATTGAAATATTTTGATTTTTAAAATAAAATTTCTTTTAACTAGTCAGATTTTCACTATATATTTTTCCTAAAAATTAAATTTTTATTTAACTGTGAAAGGTATTAAATCAATTTTAAAAAGGGTGCCGATTAAAAAAGTGCCCATAACGTATATTCAAAATAATATTAAATCCTATGGAAAAATAAAGGTGCCAGTTACTGTATTTTTGATCATTTTGTAAAAGTCAATGATTTAAAAAGAAGTATCTAAACTATACATATCATAATAGCAAAACTCGAAATATAACAACATTTTTATTGACAGAAACTATTAAAACATTTTCAACCGTGGTAATTGATTAAATACAGTAATTTAAAACTGTATTTTTTCTTAAGGTGCTAATAACTGAATCCTTTACTCTATTTGGTTAGAATATATTTTTTAAGACTATATGTATAGGTAGCCATTTATCAGTATTATTTGTAAATGTGTAGTAAAAAATTTTAAATGTTGTTTCTATAAGAAAGCTTTGATGTAAAACGTATATTCATCATTGTTAACAACATTATCGTTGTTAACTATTAATGTACTCGGACCGGTCTAATCGTTATCGCGTCTACTCCCTACTACGCACGTTGCAGTGGACATTACTACTACCGGCCGATCAGCTGTTGCACACCACACACTATACCCACACATAACCACATTTTTAGTATAGTATAGTGAAGTATTGTATAGCGGAATAATCATCTGTTGAGAAAAAATTGTATGTTTTTTTTATTGACTGCACTAATTGCAGTAAATTGTAAAACAAATTTTTTTTCATTTTGTTTTGATAATATTGTTAATTTAAACAGTTTTTTAATTTGAGTAGTATTTGTCGTTACACAAATTGCGATCTTATCTTCTCTTAAGCTACTAATTAGCTAATAAATATTTTCCTGTGGTTTATTGCTACTAATTAGCAAATGTATTTTAACTAATTGTGATATTAAAAATTGTTAAGTTACCAAAATTGTAATATCTCAATTGTGTTTGTTATTACTGTGTTATTGTTTACTAGTTATTGTCGTTTTTTCATTTAGTTTTAAGGTAGCATCTCTAGCCAGCAGCTCTGCAAATTGTGAGTACCATTGAATTTTATTTAGAATTGAATTTTGTTTATTATAATTATTGAACTGATTTAGTGCTGTCATTGAAGTTGTAGAGTTTATTTTTGTTGTTATTTTATTAAATTTTTGGAGTTCATATTTACAGTGGCGGCTCGTGGGTCTCGGAATTGGTGAGGCAAACTTTTAATTTAGTAAATTTGAATAAAGAATATACCTATTTTTAAGATTATAGGTAGATAATTATTTCGAGGGGCTTAGGATTTTAGTATATAGCTAGAGATAGCTGTATTAATAGGTAACATGTTAATTCTTTAAAATTTTTATAAATTATAAGATGAAAAATTATAATCGTATAATAATTTTTTACATTGACTGATAACTGATGTGATAAACGTAATTCGTTTGTTGTTTTTGTGGGTAAGCATAGATTAGGAACAATAACGACATATTGTCGATTCCATTTAATTTAGACGTAAAATGTCGTTTCGCATTTGAAACCACCTGGCACATGATGGTGTTCACCGCTGAGGAAAATTTACATCAGCCTCATTTTACCAAGTATTCACGACTCTCCCCCACCAATCAATCTTAATAATCCAGTATAGCAACTGAATCAAAAAAAAGTTTGCCTCTCGGACCTTATCGGTTTGCTTCGTAATCAGTCTTGTAACCTGTTGTAAATTTTTAATCATTAACGAACGGCGAGCGCAAACCTTTGGTTTCGGCACTAAATACCATGTTATATTTCGCTGTGTTTGTGCAATCAGGCGCAACATTATGTTATCTATTTTCGTCCTATTATTTTTTATGGTTCAAGATTACAAATTGCGTTAATTATAAAAATAAATTATAATATTTTGAAAGATATTTGATATTGATAGAGGCTCGAAATAAATAAATTATTATAAGGTAAATTGCAGNGATATTGATAGAGGCTCGAAATAAATAAATTATTATATGGTAAATTGCAGGTAAGATTGTGCCTCACTTGCCTCACCCGGCGAACCGTCACTGCATATTTATATTATTTGTTGAGCCCAAAGGGCTAAAGTTATCTAATCAAGTTATTCATTAAATTATTATTATTAATTATTGTAAAAAAGGTTTGAATTATTTATTTATTTAGTTTAAGGGTACACACTTACACATTATTCATCACATAGATCACTGGTTTTGTGCAGGCGAACCCTTCCACTTCCAGTTACTCTATTTTACACGGCATTACACAACGCAGCCTGATCGGTATTAAGTGCTTTTAGCCGGTTCGTGTACGTACTATAAAATTTAGTGCCCCTGTTCTAAACAATCATAAAAGATAAATTTGAAAATTACTGTCAAGTATTCAAATTAGCTATGTAATTCTTTTTATCTAGTACAATTCTTTTCCAATAACTACTTTTGCTTAATTCCTTTTTATTAAAAATGATTTTTATATTATTTATTCAAAGTTCACTATTATGTGAATCATTTGATTAACATTTTTTCTGTATATAATTATTGTAATTTTAAACTACACTCGAAGAATATATTTTTTTATTTATTACTAATAAGAAAACAAACATTTTTTAGTCTTTTTCTTATAAAATATGTTGATGGGTCGATAACAATTATAAGACAAATTCATTGAGTTACGATTGGACGCAGCATGTACAGGTATACGTATACTGCATCCGCGGACCTATACTTAATATATGTATAAAGAGGCTTCCCACATAGCAATGAAATATTTCTAGAATATTCCTAGAATATTTATTTTTGATATTAAAATATTTCTAGAATATAACCAGAATATATTGAAATATTCTCACAATGTTCTCAGAATATACTTTGGCAGCGAATATTACATTCTCACAATATTTTAAAGGTATATTTCTAAAATGTTATAAAAAATATATTGTGACAATATTTTTAAAATGTTTTATAAATATATTAAAAAAATGCAAAAAATAGATCGCTACGCGGGATTTGAACCCTGTACTTCTAGCGCTTTGGACTCGTACGTGACCCATGGACCCACAGGTTGCTTCGAAAGAAATAGGATAAAAAAGACTATTTAAGGTAGTTCAAATGGTTATTTGTCTGTTAAGTAATTTTTCTTGTTTAAAAAAATTCAAAGTAAATACAATTTTATATTCAATTTAGATTAGATTCATATAATTTTTTTGAAAATCGGCGATCCCATTACCATGATTTCTCCTTGTAAGTTAGAAACTGACTATTATTGTTGATAATATAGAAATATATTCTAACTATAATAAAAAAACTTTTTAGGATTTTTAGTTTCACAGGACAATAATAAGATATAATTGCGTTGATAAAACTAAAAAAATTTTAACTCGATAGGCCTGCAAATAATAGCAACAAGGGTTTTTTACTGTCCCTAACTTACTTAGCTTAATTGAATTAAGTTAATTAAAATTGATACTAATTAGAGAAAATGGCTGTTTACTTATTAAAGATTTAGGAATATGTATATATAATACATAAGTATTATATAACAAGATACCAATATCATCCAAAGATGTAACTAAAGGGAGAAAAGAGGATGGCTTGTGTCTCTTAAGTTACCTCAGTTGGCCAACAAGATATATATTTATAATATTTAAAAAATTATATTGATAATATATTCAACAAATATTTCAAGTTAAATATTCTATATTTATTTTAATTAATATATTTTCATAATATTTATAAGCAAATATTTAAAAAGATATTTTTTAAGCACATTGTAGAAATATTTTCGGTGTAATATACTGTATTTATTCTCTTTAATATATTATCAAAATATACATAAACAAATATTTAAAAAATTATATTGTGAGCATATTATGAAAATATTTCAATAGAATATATTTTTTATTATGTTTAAGAGATATTGTCACAATATTTTATTCAAAATATTTTAAAAAGTATTTTGTAAGAATATTTTGACAATATTAATATATTGAAATTGCTATGTGGGTTGTGACATGATATGTACTTATCTAACATTAAAATCGACTCATCAAAATGTTTTGTCGCGGTCGCATCGCATTTCCGGTGTTACCGCCGGATGGTGATCGCGGCGCTTCCTCTTCACGTACGATAGGTCACGCTATGCTCGGTGGCCGACGATATGTGAACCGACGCACATTCAATGCCCGACTTACATGACATGGTCAGAGGGATGGATGGCGCTAACGTCTTCAGCACCATCGACCTGAAGTCCGGTTATTGGCAAGTAGGTCTGACACCAGCATCACGACCATTCACCGCGTTTCGCACACAGATGGGCCTCTACCAATTTAAAGTAATGCCCTTCTGTCTTAAAAACGCCCCGGCTACTTTTCAACGGTTGGTGAACGAAGTTATGCGTGGATACGTTGGTAAATTCGTGTTTGTATACCTGGATGCCATTGTGGTGTATTCACTGAGTATGAAGGAACATTTCAATTACCTACAACGAGTCATAGAACGGTTACAAACACACGGTTTAACTGTTCAACCAAAAAAATTTAATTTGGGGGTTTTACAGATCAATTTTCTCGAGCACATTGTTGATTCAACCGGAATTGATTGGGAACCAGAAAAGTTAATCGCAATCGCC